GTCCACAGCCCTCAGGCCCACGATGGGACAGAAACAAAGGCAGAAGGCAGGATGTGGGCTCTCGGGGTGCAGCTTCAAGACCGGCTGGACCCACAGCTCGAGCAGGAAGTTTCCCCTCGCCGAAGCTTCCTCCCTCGGTCACTGACCCCATACTGACCCTGGTCCGAAGAGCAGGCGGAGGATGCAGAAACTCCTCCAACAGCCCCGGGCCCCAGCAAGAAAATGTCCTTGTTGAACCAAAGCATCTTCAAACCCGTCTGCTTTGTGGTTAGTGCCATCTCATCAGGCAGCGCGGCGGAGCCGTCAAATACCACCCGGGGGACGCTCGAGGCCCGGCGCGGGGCGGGCCACACAGCACACCCGCGGGCTTGCTTTGATGCAAGGCCAGGTGAGCGGGACTGGCAGCGCTGCCCCCCGGGGAGTCCTGAGCCAGGATACGCATAGCCAGGCCGACTCCCCGAGATGAAGGGTAAAGGGGGCCGGCCAGGCAGGCCCAGTGAGGTGGAAACGGTGCTACAGCGCTAGGGCATAGGGCGTGTCCTAGGAGATGCCGCAGACAATGGCCACACTCCCAAAGAGTCAGCCCAGAGGGGCTCGCCCATGACCCCCATCAAGGCCACCTCTGCCTGCTAAAGCATCCAGCAAAGGAAGGCCTGGCGGTCCTCACTTCCTGCTGCAAACACCAAGGCACTGGGCTCTCCCACTTCACAGTCAAGATTTCCACCTGTGGTGCCCACCCTGGCAGGCAGCCAAGGCCAGGAAGGGAGGGAGAGCACCCCTTCCTGAGCGAAGTGGAGAACTGCCTGTTCTCCGATGCTCTGTTCCACCTCCCAGGCTCCTCCACAGACCACAAGGACACGGTCCAGGCATTAGCAAGTCAGGCCTGCAAGAGCATGGAAAGAAGTCAGCGCCTCTCCCAGATCTGCCCTCCCACACCATCTGCCCTGACGAAACACCTCTGATCACTTCCTCTTGGATTAAGAGCTCCCCTCTCTGGGAATATGACCTCAAGTGGAGGCGCAAGGGGAGAAGGCAGACCGGGAAGCTGCTGTGGCAGGCTCAGATCCAAGGACCTGGAAGGGTCCTCGGAGAATGGGGAGCATCCTTGTTTGATCAGTGAAGAAACCGAGGGCATGCGGGGTGAAATGGTCCATCCAGGACCACTTGGGAGACCAGGCGCAGGGGGAGCACAGACGGTCACCATGGCAACCACCTCCACCCACCACTCATCTGCCTCTGTTTCTCCCTCGTGCGCTTTTCCCACCCACTCTGAGTCACCGGCAGAGCTCCCCAAAGGACACTCGGCCACGCTTCACAATCCCCTAAATCCTGCCAGACTCGGCCTAAACGTGGGTTCTGCCCTCATCCCTGCCCTCCCACTGGCAGGAACATACTTCAAGTCAGCACGAGGATGGGAGTTATGGAAGAAGAGATAGAGGGATACCCTGGTTCGAGACCAGGAGCTCACCCCGCCACATCCGGGAGCGCCTGGAACTTTCCACACAGGACCCAACTCAAGAATCCAGATCCAGCACCGCTCATCAGTCCTGTGGTTGCTGCTGTTTAAATTGACATCAGGATGCATGGAGCTCACAGGCTTGGCTTGTGCTTCTCAGAAACCAGCAGCCCGTACGTCCTGGGATGGCCTCACCCTTGACTCTCCCAATACTCGGTCTTGTTTAAACACCTTTCTGATTCTACCACGTGACATTTATCTCCCAGTTCTCCCATTCCTGGCTCCTCTCACCTCCAGAAAAACAAACAGAACCCATCCCAGGCTCTTTAAGGAGACACAGATGTCACACGGGCCACCAAAGTCACCCTGCTCCAAGCTCTCCCATCTCCCTAGAAGCTGTACGTATTGTCCTTAACAGGGGGCAGACAGCGTTCACAAGGCTCCTCTGCTCAAGACTCCCCTATAGAGACATCTGCATGAGCCTTGACGCCAGGCTGGCTGCCCGCCGGCGCTGGGGCACCTGGCCCATGGGTGTGCACGGTCCTGACCGCCCCGGCTGGCCATCCCTGGGCTGGGACTCAGGCTGGCCCTCCAGCCCCTGGGTCCCTCCTCCAACCTGCTGTCCCACCTCCACTGTGTGTCACACCGTCTGACAAAGTCGGTTTAGCATTTAGGACAAGGCGAGACTGCGTCTCCATCCAAGAATGAGCCAGCTCCTCCCGTCACACGTGGCCCATCAAGTTTCCGCTTTCTCTCAGCCCAGCAGCCCCGCCAGAGCGCACGTGCGGCCTCTGCTCCGGACTGCCTTTTGTGGGCCCCGGCGTCTCCTCCTAACCCTCCTCCTGTTCACATAGTTCTACTTTAAATCGCCCCAATCATTTTTTTGTAAGCAATAAGGTATTTTTTTTAAGTAAGCAAAGGAGAAGAGACCACCTTCTTCAGGCTTTCCCAGCCCTGTGAGCTCCAGGGATCTTCCCTTCTCAGAACTCCAGCTCGTTTTCCAAACCAAGGTAGCGCCTCCCCTTCAGCTACACAGGCCCCGAGCTCCCAGGACACAAAGATGCGCCCTTCCCACCACAGCTGGTCCCCAGGTCCCTGCAACAAGGTGGCTGCTACCCACCGCCTCCGCTCCTGTCTCCCAGTGGGGCTGGACCTGCTGCCATGGGCTTCCACACTCCCCACTCACACACACACACACACACACACACACACACACGCACGCACGCACACTGTGAGGCACCATGCTGCGGCCACTCCCTCCCTCCCTCAGGAGCCCTTTCTCTTCTGGATTCTGGCCCGCTCTCTCCTGGTTGTCCTTCCACCTCCCAGCCTCCCTGTCACAGCCTCCACTTCCTTCACCCTTCCCTGAAGAACAGGTGTTTCCAGAAGAGTTCTGCCTCACTGTCCACACCGATGGCTTCTCTCACTGCCAGAACACAGAGGATGCCCAAATCCTCAGGCATTCCCAGGCACGACTCCCTCCTGGCCTCCACCAACCCTCCCTGCACCGTCTCATCACTGCCATGGCTTTAATCACCAACAAGATGCCCAAACCCATTTCTCCACTTCAGCTTCTCTACTGAGCTGCAGGCCCAAAAGTCCAAATGCCCCCTAGGCGTTGCCATGAGAATGGTAATGTCCCCTCAACCCTCAGATGCTGCGCATCCAACAGCCCCCGCCACTGAATGGGTCTGTTGCCCCATAATTATTCAACCAGGAAACATGGCGGTCACCAGTCATGCATCCATTCTAGTAACATCTATAGAAAGCTCACTACACACCAGGCTCTGCGCAGGACAAGGTGTGAAGGAGACAAAACAGAAACGGCTTTGCCTCCAGGGAACTTTCAACCAGTCACCCAGTCCTGTGGAGGCCACTGACCAATCCCCCCTGAACTGATACACTGCTCCCCACACCCACAGCCGCTGTCTCAGGCCAGGCCCGCGGGCTACAGTGGAAGGAAAGCACTGAAGATCGAATCCAGCCTGAAATACACGAGCTGGGTGACCTCGGACAAGTCCCTGTCTACGTCTGTTTGATGACAGTACCTGCCTTGTAAGCTTGTTGCAAGGATTAATGGGATAAACCACCCAATAGGCCACTGTCTGTATACAGCAAGCAACCTCTGCTTATCTGCTCAGTTGGCTCTGTCTCCCCGGCAGCCTCACCTCTGGCTTCCCCCCCACGCCCCGAGGCCCACACTCCACGAGCACCCACCACCCGCAGGTGCTCGTGAGCCCAGGCCCTCTCGCTCCCTCCAGCCTTGGCCTGCGGCCTCATTCCCTGGCTTTCTCCTTCTCACTTTCCAAGGTTCAGCTCACAGCCCAGTCCTGTGGACCCCCGGGCTGAGGCAGGCGCCCCTCTCCCGCACCCCCTCCTCTGGGGGCCCGCAGCCCTCAGCCCACTGCACTGGGATCCCCGCTCTGCCCCTCTGTCTCTCCTTTTGGACTGGGTTCACCTCTGCATGCCCAGGCCTTCGAACCACGCGCTGGATGCTACAGGAGCTCAATAAATGCTTAACCACAGACGGGAAAAACACAAGAGGCAAGTTTCAAGTCACCGGAACAAAACAAAACATAAAACTTCCCAATAATGAGGCTACACTTATTAAGCAATGACTGTATGCCAGGCTCTGTGCTAAGCTCTAACACACATGTCATTTCCTCACAATAACGCTGTGCTGTGGGCACTTTTATTCCTGTTTCATGGGTCAAGGGATGGCGACTCAGGCCATTTGAAAAACCTGCTCCAAGTCACAGAGGTATTAAGTGTAGAGGCCACAAGTCAAACCCAGGACCATCAGACACCCCATGCTCTACCCCAACCCTAGACAGGCTCAGCTCTCAGTGTGAAAGGAGCTGCCTCTCAAGACATATGAGAGCCCTTCCCTGGCGGCCACAGGACTTCACTGGAATGTGGGGTGGGGCTTCCCTTAGAGGTGGGCCTCAAGTCACTGAAGGTCCCTTCTTATTCCAGCCTCTAGGAGCTATGATTTCAAATTAGGAGCTCTTTGGAAGGTTTATCTTGGTTTCCCCCAAGGTGCTCAGCATGAAGCCGGACACGCAGCAGGCAAATGATAAACCTGTGCTAATAAATGAATGGACAGATGAATGGATGGATGAACGGATGGATGGCTGGATGGATGGATGAATGAGTGAATGGATGGATGGCTGGATGGGTGGATGGATGGATGGCTGGACGGATGAAATGGATGAATAAGTGGATGGATGGATGGATGGATAGATGGACAGATGGATGGACGGACAGACGGACGGACTGATGGATGGATGAGTGAATGGATGGATGGATGAATGGCTGAATGGATAGATGAATGGATGCATGGATGGATGAATGGATGGACGGACGGACGGACGGACGGATGGATGAATCAATGAATGAATAGATGAAAGAATGAATGACAATTCATTTTGCACATGTCTGAGTCACCCTCTTTGCCGGGCTCAGGACTGTAGCCCACGGGACCGGGGAACGCTGAGCAGGCAGCGCACCTGGCCGACTCCCCACGGGGCTGCGGTGCCCCTACCTGCACAGGTGGTCCGTCCGGCACAGGCTGCGGAGGTCCAGGCAGTTGGGCTTCTCCTTGTCCTCGTAGGAGCAGCTGGGCAGGATGGTCTGGCGGCGGCGCTCGGCGCACGCCTGGTCCTGGCAGGAGCAGAAGAGCATGCGGTAGGTGTACTCGCCCGGCACGCGGTCGAAGAACTGGCGCAGGGCCTTGTGGCACTTGCGGCGGTTGCAGCGCTCGGTGGGCGAGATCTCGCGGTTGCAGATGGAGATGTAGGAGGAGCGCAGCTTCTTGCAGTTGTCGTTCAGGTTGCAGGCCTTGGCGGCGTCCAGGCAGTGGTTGCTCTTGGCGCTGACCGCCGGGTCTGCCCCTGTCCCTGGAGGGGAGGGAGGGGACCGTCAGAGGCCCAGGCTGGGGACACGGCCCAGGCCCACCTGCTCTGTGCCCCGGCTCCCTCATCTGTGAGATGGGGATCACTCAGCAGGCCCTCCCTGCAAGGCGGAGCTGAGGGCCAAGTGAGCCAGTTCACTCGATCAGGTCTGCAAAGTGCTGCGGACAGCGCCTGGCGCCGAGCAAGCTGTACATCCAGGGCGCTATTAGGGTGACGACTGTTTACACAGAGTCTTACTTAAAACTTATCATGAGCCCAAAAGGCAAGCGACGAGGTGCCTGTGGCCCTGTTTGCAAAAGTGGGAAGCGGGGCAAAAAGGGACTGGCTCAGGGGCACGCAACTGGGTAGCAGTTAAGCCAAGATGGGCCCCTGGGTACCCAGCGGCTGCACCGGCGAGCAGGGCTTCTGGTCAGGGAGCACTGCTGGCCCTTGGAGGGCAGTTCTCATCATGGGATCTTCAGCACCCAGGGGACAAAGAGCACCATCCTCGCCCCCACGACTGTGGCCACTGAAACCGTCCCCACGCGTTTCAAAGGGTGCGACTGCGGCCAGCGAGTGCCGAGACCACTAAAAGCAAGCGCCAGGCTGGGAGCTCGGCAGAGGGAGGTGGGGGCTGAAGGCCAGCCCGGGACTCCGGCAGGGCTGAGCCCTTCCCCAACTGAAGCGCAGACGTGCTGGATGCTGGGACCTCAGCGTTACAGCCGTGGCTTCAAGCTTCATGCCACTGCCCACGGAGCAGAACGTCTCGGGCACAAAGCTGTAATTCTGGGGAGCTGTCCGGCTCCTTCTGTGGTGGCCACCCCACTCCCCAGGTCTGGGCCATTCCGAAGGGAACCCACGGCAGAGGGACCACCTGACCCCGCACTACCAGCCCATTCCCACCCACAGAGCACCCCTTGTCCATCCTGATGACAGACAGAGCGGGGAGGCAGGCATCCAGTCTGCACAGGGCCCCCTCCCCCAACGGTGCTCAGGTGAGAGCCAAACGGGAGATCACCTAGCCCTACCTCTTCATCTTACAGATGAGGAAACTGAGGCACCGTAAGGGGCAGCAAACCAGAGCAGGAGCCCAGATGCCGCCAGCACCCTGGTACCCAGGGAGAACCACCAGCTAGGATGGCCGAGCCATAGCCTTTCAGTCATTCTCCATCCATCTAACAAATGCTTTCCCATCTTTCTTGAGCACCAGCCCCTCTGCGTGAGGCCCCGCCCCACAGAGGATGGGAGGGGCTAGGGTGAGGAGCGCTGAGGCCACGCCCCCCTCCCTCAGCACTTCCTGTACAGCCCCAGTGTTCTGATCACATGGTCACTACAGAGCTATGGAGTTCCCACCTCCGCACGGCCCTCTCCCTGCTGGGTGCTCTGCTGGACGTAGCCGGGGAGGACGAGGGCCCTCTCGGAGACCTCACATATCCAGCTAGAAAACCAAGAGGCAGAACAGTGGACTGGCTAAGACTGGATGTTCTGAAACTGAGGCTTCTGCACTGATTCCTGGTCCTGCTACTGATCAGCTGCGTGGCCTTGGGGCAGTGACCGGACCTTCCTTTGCTCAGCCCCTCTCTTCTCTATAGACACCCACTCCCCGGGACCCTCCACTCATGCACAGCCTTAAATGCCATCAATAAGCTGTCAGCTCTGAACCTCACACTTCTCTGTCCAACTGCCTGCTCGGCAACTCTACCTGAAAGGCTGGCACCTGCCTCTCAAACCACACCCTACGTGCTCCCCCAAAGCTGTCCCCACCCCCTCTGAAAACAACTCCAGCCTTCCAGTGGCTCAGGCTGAAAATCTTGGCATTTCTTCGCTCTCTCATTCACACACCACATCAGAAAGACCTGGCCATTCTTCCTTCAGAATCCATCCGGAATCCATGCAGAATCCAGCCTCTCACCCCACCACTAACACCTTGGTCCAAGCGGTATCACAGCATGCCAGTAAGGGCCTCCCTAGTCCCTCCAGTCTCCCTGCTCTGTCCTTTCACTCCCCGACCCCCGCCACAGTCCTCTCTCATCACAGCTGCCGTGAACCTCCTAGAACGTAAGGCAGAGACAATGCTCCTGGACCCCAGGGCTTCCAGGGGCTTCCCCATCTCATTCAGAGGCCTTGCCAGGGCCCTCAAGGCTCAATATCTGTGCTGTCCAACACAGAGGCCACTACAGCAAGTGGCCATTGAATCTGTAGTGGCACCAGCCCAAATGAGATGTGCACACCAGATTTTGAAAACTCAGTAAGAAAGAAATAATAATATAAAGCATTTCATTTCAAATATTTCTTTACTTTGATTCCACACTGAAGCACTGTTTTTAATACAGTGTGTTAAACATATTAAGGTTAAGTTCACATGCTTCTTTTTAACTTTTTTAACACAGCTATTAGAAAGTTTAGAATTTAAACATGGACTCATAATATATTTCCATTAGCCAGGGCTACCACCTATGACTTCATTTCCTACTCAGTCCCCTGCTCACTTACTCCCTTCCAGCCACAGTGGCCTCCCTGCTCTTCCTGGCCTGACCTCAGGGCCTTTGCACTTGCTGCTGCTTCTGCCTAGAAAGCTCTCCACCACTCCCATGACCACACAGCAATTGTCAAAGACTGAGCCATCACCCCAACAGCTTGCCCAGCCAACAACAGCCCTAAGAAGGCAGAAGGAGAAAAGTTCCCTGTCTTCTTGTAAAAATAAAAGAGGAATTAGGGCAGAAAGAAAATCAAGGTTTGTCTTCCCACTCATTCAATTAACAAACCTTCATGGAGGGCTGACCATGTGCCAGACACTTCCTAGACACACAGCTGGGGTCAAGGCCGAGGTGATGCTGATACGTCAGGGAGGTCAGGGTGCTGTCTGTAAGGAACAGAAAGGAAAGCTTTCTGCCCAGATCAAGGGGGTCACAGAAGCAGTGATAGCTCCACTGAAACCTACAGAACGAGGAAGAGGAAGCAAAAAGAGTGGAAAGGGGGGTCCCAGGCAGAGGGAACAAAGGGCAGGGCCACAGGCTGGGAGGAGCTGGCAGCAATGCAGGGTGCCTGGAGATGGAGCCTGGAAGAGGGACCCACCAGAGATGGCGCTGGGGGAGCCACGCAATGGCTTTCGGCCAAGGCGTGTGGGGGCGTCACGTGATCTCCCAAGCAGTTCCCTGAGCTGCTGCCAAGCTGTTCTGCCCCGGCCAGGTGGCGACCCCAGGACGCCTATCTATACAAAGGCTATTCCGGGGCGCCGCCTCCAAGGGAGGGCTCTCCCGGGCCAGCTGGACTGTTCCTTCACGTCCAGTGCACCTGTCGGGAGGCTGGCTGGCAGACGCGAACAGCCAAGCAGCCTGAGGCCAAGGCGGAGGAGAGTGAGGACGTGAGGGACCCCAGAGAGGAGCAGGGTGACAGCCGCCAATGAGCAGCAGCTAATTTCGGCCCGCGGCTGCACTCAGGTTCCCAGGTGCTCTGTCCCGCTCCCCTCGGCGTGTTCTGGAGCTGATGCAGTTTAATTATAGCCTCAGTGGCTTCCATTTGGAGCTTGAACTGCGAAAGCTTTTGCTAAGGGGGTGGGAAATGCAAATGCCTGGGCCAAAACTAAATTGTTAAATTTCCTAATAACAACAAAAAAAACTCCAAAAAAGGTGGCGATAGTAACACAGCAATCGCCTAGTTACCAGGAAGATGCCTCTTCTGATCCTCCTGGAGTGGGGCCAGGGGCCAGTGGGCCGACAACGGCCTGGCTCCATGGCGGGGAGAGAGAGGCTCGGGGGCTGGCCTGGCCCCGGCTCTCCTGTAAGTGAGGGACTGATGAAGCGCATGCCGTGCCGGGACATCCTCTTCCCAGCCCATCCACTGCCTCTGCATCCATCCGCACTCAGGCACCTTAACCTTGGGTCCAGAAGGCTTTCTTTTCACCTTCAAGAGTCCCCAGTGGGGAGGAAGAAGGTGCTGGATTGCAAACACCAGCCTTGCCCAGCGTGGGCTGCCACCACTGAATGAAAATGTCCAAAGAGCAGGGAGGGAGGCCCAAGCTACACCCCAACCCTGCCCCCTCCCTGCAGACCACACAGGACCCCTCCCAGGCCTGGGCCAGCCCGCCCTCCTGGCCTGCCTGCCAAGAAGAGCCCAGATGGGCCAAGGAGTAAATGAGAACTGCTGCTCGGGAGGGGGAGGGCAGTGGGATTTAACCACGCCAGGTGCTTCCCGAAATCTCAGCTCCATCCCCTGGGGACACATTCTGGCTTCTTTATCCCCTCCCTCGGTGAGAGCAGGGCAAGGGGGCCCAGCTGGAGAGAGGCTGCCCCACCCCAGCCAAGCCTTGAACCTCTCCCCTCTTCCCCCCTGGGGTGCCGCCTTGAGCCAACAACCATCTGTCCCTAGAACTTCAAGCCCATATCCTTGAAACATCTGCTTGTATAAAGATGGGTTTACCAAACCACAGATGCCCGGGTACCACCTATACCATTTCACCACCTGTACTAATAATTTTTTCTTTAAATCCCTTCTTTCTTAAATTAAGTGACATGTTTAAATCCCTTTAACGGACTCACTTTTTAAATTTTTCAATAGCTATGTAGATTTAGCCTAAATGAGAACATCTATGTTAGTTCTGAATTTTTCCTAGACAGGTTAAAATGCACTGCTCGTCAAACTAAAGTATTTATCCCTACACCCATCTCCCATTCTGGCAGCAACGAGCACGCCCTTGGAGGGAAGCCACTGACGTAGACTCAAGGTTCTTAAACTTTGGTGCATTTGTGACTCACTCAAACTGCCTGTTGCCCGCAGACGCTCAGCCCCCCGCCAGACCCTCCCAGTTGAGAGCTCGGTGGCTGGCGCCCAGGAAGCTGGATTTCCCAAGCTCCCGGTGACTCAGGGGCTGCCTTCCAAAGCTGGAGAACCAGAGACTCGGGGGAGACACCGAGCTGCCCCTGGTCTGCTCCCCAGCCACACACACACCCCGGCCCAGCCCACAGTGTACCAAACCCACCGTCGGAAGAACGGAGTTTATGGGCCTC